TCCTCTCTCTCCCCCTCTCTCTCTCTCTCTCTCTCTCTCTCTCTCTCTCTCTCTCTCTCTCTCTCTCTCTCTCTCTCTCTTTTTCCTTCTCTCCTTTCTTTCTCTCTTAACATTCGAAAAGTTAAATTTAAGGAAAAAAGGACATTGGGCTAAGTAAAAATCTTTGTAACAGTTAAAGAAGGGAAGCAGATGAAGAAAGAAGCTGTGAATCGTCGAGGGACAATGGAAGGGCGGGAGATGAAGAATTTCTTGTTTGGGATAGAAAGAAGAGTCGAAAAAAAACGTTTTCGACTTTAAGCAAGATATAAAGCCTTAAATCCTCTTGGGAACTCTCATCCATGCCCTGCTCAAATGGGTAATTATGAAATATCAAAAAAAATATATTTGCTCTGTACGATTTTGTGCACGAAATAGACTTCGTGCAATCGTGCAGCCTATAGCAACCCATCTTGTTGTCATTGGCAGTGTTAATGAGTTAGTAGTTCCATTTCACCAGTTGGGAAAGTATACCATGATGGTTGAGAAGCTGATTATCTTGAAACTACAAACTCCTGCCTGAGATCTTGAACCACGAGGATTGGTGATCCTTATGATTTTGTATGGGGGACCTGAAATCGTTTCTCATCAGGCTTCACTTAGCTCAAGACATGTTGAGCTCCGTGTACTGACTATCTCGTATGTCCATCTAACGATAAAACATGACCAAGATACAAATTCTTATCAAAACTACAACAATGCAAAGCCGATTTCAAACAAAGCAAGTTCTGATCAATCTGAAAAATTTAGAAAAAATTTCACATAAAAATCAAAGCTGCCGGAAATTCGGATGGAGCACTTTTTCGCATGCAAACAAGAAGTGTCAAACGAGTAAAACGATTCAATCGCTCATTCTCAATAAGTACACTACTCAAATCTGAGCCCATCACACTTTCTTGTCTCTTGCGCGAGCCGTAACTCCAAAATGAAATACATCTCTCATTGGATGTAACCCAAAGTTCAGAAGATGTGTGAAGAATATGATCTGATTTCTCTGTTAACTTCTGAGATTCGCGAAAGGGTCTCCAAGAGATGTGAAGAGAAGAATCTCGAAGTTACACCCAAACTGAAGCGAAGGAAATGAAATGTTAGGTTATCAGCTACTGGTTCGAGACATTTTACATAAAGATCACATTTTTTTTGTTATTTTATTAACACGCAACATAACAGTTTATCTCAACTATCTTAAGTTTTATTGATTTTAGGATCAAGTGCTCCGTATGCTGTCTGGTTTGACTAACCATAGACACTGATCTTGATCATTCAACATCAACTGATGATTCATGCTGTAATTTTTCCATTTTTTTTCATGCAATGTATATCCTGGAGTGATCATCTTGACGAACTCTCTTATCAGCAGATAAATCATCATCAGATGCTATCTGAAGATGATTATTGAATTTCAGAATGATATAGCTAATGTGATACCT